TCATGATAGTGTTCCTCCAAAAAAAGTCATCAATACAATAATTCACAAGTTATGCAGTTTATTTTCATAGCATATAATTCATCAATAGAATAATTCACAAGATTTTTTTTTTGGATAAAGGTGTTGTTGATGTTGATATAATTCATCAGACTTCTATGCAAGGGAAGGGAAGACAACACCCAATCACCAAAAACAAACAAACATTGACGCAACAATAATGTCAAATTGCAAAGAGGTAACCATTATGAATAGACTAACTAGAGTTCAAAAAATGAAATGCTATTCTACAATGTAATATTTACTCTTCTTTCTAGTTCCCCCATCTCTAGAGACATTGACTACTTCTCACTTTCTCAGTACATTGCCAAGAATTCCAAAAACCATAGCACTAGAAAATGAAAATTAGATAGGTAAGAAGTGTAACATAACCATATTATAAGTTACAGACACAAATAGAAGGCAGTCAAACAGCATAGCAAATATTTTGAAACAAAAAACTCTGAAAAATCTACTAAGCTTGTCCTTTTAAACATAGTAATCCTTCCACCGGCAAAACAAGTATTAGGGACATGATTTTTCCATCTTATCCAACACAAGTTTTGGAAAAACAACAAAGAGATATTGCACAGAAAGTGAGATAATATATAACTTAAAAAAGAACATTGCTTACATATGAGCCACTAACAAAAGGTTTTAAGTTCAGCTCACAACCAAACTGAACCTTCTTTTTAATCTTTTGCCCAGGATCGTGTGCACAGAACCGCTTAAGATGAATTGTTAACACAGATGGTGCCTCATGAATTGTAAGCTGCTTGAGAGCCCTAACTTTCTGCTTGCATCGTTGACAATGGTATTGCTTCTCCCCACCATCCAACCATTCTGCAGAAGTGAAATTTGAAAGTGCTTTTTGCAATGAATCTGCCTTGAATATCTCAAGACTTAAATCTAAGAATGGATCAAATTTGTTGGAGTCATAAGAACACTGCTGGCATTTCACCTGGCAAAACCAACCAAAAAACTATTTTGAGTTGTTGTAAAAGAGTAATCATACATCAAAGTGTAAAGAACTAATTCAACACAAAAGCTTAAGTTGTTAGGTGAATGCTACATTAATGGTTTAATATTTCTCTAACACAAAAGAACCAATTCAATCCGAAAGTTTAAGGTGTTCGGGGAAGGCCATATTAATGGTTTTATATTTCTATATAGATTCTCAGATTTTATTAGATGCCAACTGAACCATTTTCGAACCTCCATTAGTAATGATATCACTCTTAAAAATTCCACCACTAATCAAGAAACAATTACCTGACTCCGGAGACGACCACCAAAGATCTTGTGAACAAAACTCTTTTCGTAAGCACCAGGTGATTCACTTGGTACACCAGAAGGGAGGCAGCATTTATGCATCGACTCAAGTAAGTTAACCATATACTCATGTGCATCCTCCTGCCTTGCCTTTCGGAAATTTCGTGATATGCCTGATCTCATGTCAGGAAATACAAATTTCAAGCGAATAAAAGGACATTGTTTTTTAACCCTCCCCCCTTGGCACAAAGGAATTCATGCACTAAAAGCACAGAAAGATAGGAAAAGGAAGAAGAATATTTTATAAAGGTGGCCTAATTCTTACCAAATGTCTAAAACAAGAGAACAAAAAATGGACCTTAAATGCTCATTCATAAATCAAACTCAAAACATAAGGATACACCGTAGATTCCCAACAAGATCCTCTGGTGATAATATTCTCCCAGTTGATTGCAGTGCGCGACTCACGTGATTCTGTATTGCACACAGAGCACAAAATCCAGCAATGTGGCCTACAATTATCGTAAAATATAATTAGAATATCAATATAACAAAAACTTTCTTCACACATACATATGCACCATTGCTAAATAAATGGAGAAATTACGAAAACATAACCCTATTCAACTTTGCTCATTTAACAGAGTCAAGTAAACCAAAGAAAAAGTGGGGAGTTGCTCACAGGAATTTTTATGCTTGCCACTTTGCAGGTATGCAGCTAGTGGCTCCGTATATGTCAAACACTGCAGCACCGAATTGAGAAAACATGTGTTTCCAAGATTTTGCAACCCAGCTCCCTGAAAATTATAATTAGCATCCCTTTAAAAACAAGCTTTCGCTGACAAGATGAAATAGGCATTAATGTGGAGGGGAAAAAGAGTTGATATCCTTCACATAAATAGGCACAGAAACTTACTATTCTTCGAGAGGTAATCCCGAAGCTGAGCTCCGGATCCAAGCCATAGTCGGAGGATAATTCGGAACCGTGGTGCTTCTTGGAAGCCGCAGGCGAGGCAGCAGGAGATGAACAAGGCGGTCGAGGTTCGGAGGCAGTAGGGTTTAGGGTCTCGAGGTGAAAATCATTGGAAAAGCCCTTGAATGGTTTCTTGACAGGGTGGAATTCGATCCTTCTCCCGAAGAGGAAGAGGGTGTTATTAGGTGAAGGATCAGGTGGATTCATAGTTTCCGTTTGGATCAAGAAACTTCGATTTCTGATTACAAGGTGGAAACGCGGCGGCGAAAGTGGGAAAGAGAGAAGACAACGGTGGTGTATGTGTATGTACTCTGATGCAACAACGCAACACGAACTGAGACTGTGACTGTGACTGTGACTGTGACTGTGACTGTTCCTTTCTCTCTACCATTATTTGTAGTAGTGTCTGGGCCTGGGTTCAACACCTTTGGTCGGCAAGAGGATATATGATTTCAAATTTTAACTTAGATTTACTATGATTAATTACAAAAATATATCACTTAGATTCTTTGTGATTTTAGGGTGTAGGGGATTTAATATGATTACAAAAATATATCACTTCGATTCTTTGTGATTTTATATATATATAATTTTTTTTTCTCTGTTTTTAACTTATATTATTATCATATTATAAATTAAAATTATGTATCCAAAAATATAAATTACTGATTTGAATTTAAATTAATTTAAATTAATAATAATATCAATTATATTCTTATAATTTTATACCTATAAAAGTTTTTATTTTTTCCTCTCTTTTAATTTATACCCTCGTCTAATGCATTTAAGACAAATAAATAAAATTAAATTTTAAAAAAATTAACTTGTTTTTATCATGAAAATAAATTCAATTCAAATATTATTTTATTTTATCTATTTTTTATCCCATATCATTATAAAATTTTCTAGAGAAAGTAAATATTTTTTTTTTGATAATACATATTTGATTTATCTTTAAAAGTTTTAATATATTTTTAGATAAAAGAAATTAAGATAATTTATATATTAATTTCAAAATAAAGATCTTTAATTATTTTTTAATTTACTATTGTATTATTAATTTTATTATAATTTTATTTGATAACATCAAGATTATATAAAATAAAATTTAGAAAGAGTAAATATTTTTATATTTATAAGACCACAAGAAGTCTAAGGGGGTGTATTAGATTGAGATTTCAAAAGATTTTAATGGATTATTTTTTGACAAAAAGATTCATCGTTATTCAATTAAGATTTTAATGGATTGAAAAACGATTAGGATTTTAAAAGATTATTTTAAATTTCGTCCAAATTCATTGATATTCTGTCAAGATTTTAAACAATGAAAAGACAATCATGCGGTATTCAAAAATTTAATGATTTTAATGGATTTTCTATTTATGTGAATTTCATGAGACTTTTTAAATTTTTAGTAAGAAATATAAATACGATGTCTCTCTCACAATCTCACTTTAATCCCTCCGATTTATTGAGATTTTTTTATTGCAATTTTCACCTGCAGTTTGAATAACATATAACTGTATACGTCCCTCCCATCGGGTTTTTATTTTCTTCCTGCATATATGCTTTGGTGCTTTTTGTATGTGCTGCAACACCGAGACTTTCCTAAAAAAGTTCGTAAACTTTGTTACGAAAGCAAGAATTATTCAGGCAAAAAAAATTAATTAATGCTTTTTAATAAAATAATTACGTATTTATTACAGTTTTGGGAATAATTACGGATCTATTACACAATGTGACGCCTTTTTTAGACGTCACATGTGACGCCTCATTTGGGCAATGGGGCGTCTCTCGTGAGGTGTTGACACGTGTCATTTTTTTTTTTCAAAAAAAAATAATAATTTAATCATAAAACTTCTGAAGGCTATAACTTTTGACTCGGGTATCCAAATCAGGTAATTCTTTTTTTGATTCCACATAACTTTTCGAGATCTACGTAATGACATCTCATTTGACATATTTTATATCTCAAAAACACAATTCAAATTTACAACAATGATACAAAAAAGATGGCACTAAAGTTGATTAACTCGTCTATTAAATAAAAAACGCAATCAACTCCTATAACATTAAATTCTTAATTCAAATAAGCTCTATCAAATTTATTTGAATTGGCGACAATCTGATTTAGAATATTTATTTAATTATTTCCTTTATTAATACAGATTTTTCAAATTGATTTTTGAGTTTAAATCACAAATCAAATCTTTATTTTGTTTTCCTTATTAATAATAATTGTAACTTTTATTTTAAATCACAAACCAAATATTTTTTATAATAAAAAAAAATTATTTTTTAAATTAAATCACACATCAAATCTTGATTTATTTTTTATATTAAATCACAAACGCAGAACTCAGAGGCTTCTGAGTTTTAAAATGTGACACGTGTCAACACTTGACGCGTCACCAATCACGTCTAAATTGGATTTCAATCAAGAGGCAATCACGTCTAATTTAGGTAATTTTATTTTTGAAAAATATTCATAAACCATCATTAATTTCAGACCACGAATAATAATCCAGAAGCTTATAGCATTAATCATGAATTTCAAAAATAATATCCTTCCTTCTTAGAGATTTAGAATATTTATTTAATTATTTTATTTATTTCTTCAGATTTTTCAAATTGATTATTTAGTTTAAATCACAAATCAAATCTTTATTTTGTTTTCAATATTAATAATAATTTTTATTTTTATTTTTAATTTAAATCACAAACCAAATTTTTGTTATTATAAAAAAATTAAATCACAAATCAAATTGATAGACCCCACTAACTCATTGTGTGTGCAGAAAACATGTTATATATAAAGCCCTTTTAATATATAGTAATCAAATTAGTTATGGTTTGTTAAGCGATTAGTTAGAAAGTCACAACTAATAAAATGTATAAATAGACTTAAGAGGGCCAAATAAATCATCACTTGATTGAATTAGTTGAATGACTCTGGTGATTGATAATTTTCCCGCCCTTTAATCGGAGGGAATGAAAATGGAAATCAAAGGCAATGTTTATATTAAGGAATTTTTTTTTTAATTATAAAGATTTATACTAAAAAAATAAATCTTTAGAACCTCTCATGTACAGAAGATTCAATATATTTGACTAATTATTTTGTAATACATAAAAAAAATTACATTATTTATATTTTAAATATAATATTTTTTATTCACGTATCATGGCTTTTTGACCCTTTTGCCCCTCATTAATTAATTAATAACTAATTTTCCCCTCCCCCAGAACTATCCACCATCCTGCCCCTATTTAGTCGATTAAGTTGCACTTTTAATCGACTAAATGGGCAAAACTCAGAAATCATAAAACGCGAATTTTAGTCGACTAAATACTCATCTTAATCGACTACGTTCGTTGCACTTTTAGTCGACTAAGCCCATTATTTAGTCGACTAAATATCGCGGAAAACCTTATATCCAGACCTCTCTCGGTCTCATTTTCATTATATTCGAAATCAAAACTCCTCTTTCTCTTGTTTGTCAGCTGTGATCCTTCCAATCACCCTTCCATTTCATCCCACCACCTCTAAGGCATAGTAATTGTGAAATCATTGTCATTTCCCTTTATTTCTCAATTGTTCCCCCCAAAACCCTAAAATCCGATTCCTACCCCCAAATTCGTGTGAAAGATGAGCTCAAGTCCAAACATGTATGTTACCATGATTTACTATGATGGAAAGCATTATGAAGGCCCCAACGGTGTTCAATTTGAAGGAAAAACGAAAATGTTGAAAATCAAACGGGGCAGATTGTAGAGCGCTTTGAAGGTGGTGGGGTGAAGGTGATTGAAACGTCGCCAGAGACTGATGACGATGAAGGAGCTCGCGACGTGCTTCCCATGACTGACACGGACAGTGATCATACGCGAGATGGTGCTGGGCGTGTAACGTCAGGCGATCCTGTTGGTATTGCTGGGTAGGATGAAACTGTTCAGGCGCCGGTGGCGGTTGCCCCAGTAGTTGAAGGGGACCCGTCTGGTCAGGATCGGGATGTTTAAGATGCTCTGGCGACCGGTCAGGCGTTTTTTTTTTTTTTTTGGCGCGGTTGGTATGTCAACAGCGGCCTTATGTTGTAAAGACTATTAATATCAACGAGTGGATTTCCTTTACCTTTGTCATTTTTCACGCTTTGTCTAAAGAACCACTTTATTTTTCTTGCCTCTTCTCCAGTGAATTAAGCTTGATTGTAAGAGCGTTGGCTGGGGGTGAGGATCATCCCAGTCCAACTGCGGCGATGGTGGGAACCATCTTGCTTGCTAGGCGTTGGCTGGGGTTGAGGACCGTCCCAGTCTAACTGCGGCGAGGGTGAGAACCGTCCCGTACGTTGGCGTTGGCTGGGGGTGAGAACCATCCCAATACCAAATATGGCGGGGGTGAGAACCGTCCCGTAGGTTGGCGTTGGCTGGGGGTGAGAACCATCCCAGACCAACTATGGCAGGGGTGAGAACCGTCCCGTAGGTTGGCGTTGGCTGGGGGTGAGAACCATCCCAGACCAACTATGGCGGGGGTGAGAACCGTCCCGTAGTCACATTTGATAGTGTTAAATTGAATTGGCGATCTTTATTGAAGCTCAAAACTCTGCCTCGTTAAAAACCTTTCCCAGCAAAACCCTATGGGACAAAAGCCTAGGAAAGGAAAAGAGTGCAGGAGTTGTTACATGATAACTTAACTATAATACATTTTGAGCTTATCGGCGTTCCAAGCCCTTGGCAGCGCCTTTCCTTCTAATGTTTCTAGGTAGTAGGCTCCATGACCTAATTTGTTGGTTACCCTGTAAGGTCCTTCCCATGTTGGGGCGAGTTTTCCTTCGCGGGCGTTTTTATTTCCAACGTCTGCTCTTCGAAGCACCAAATCTTTTTCTTGGAAACTCCTGGGGATGACCTTCTTATTGTAGTAAGTAGCAGATTTTTCTTTAGAATGGAGATCAGACTCGGTGGCAGACCTTCTGAGTTCGTCCAGCAGGTCTAATGCTTCTTTCAAATTCTGGGTGTTGTCGATCTCGGTTACGTGCTCTCGCCGCCAGGAGGGTTCACCGATTTTTACTGGGATCATGGCTTCAGCGCCGTAAGTCAGCCTAAACGGAGTTTCTTTTGTGGATGACTGGGCGGTTGTCCTGTACCCCCACAGGACGTTGTCAAGATTGTCAATTCATGCCCCTTTGTGTGCATCTAGCTTCTTTTTAATTCCTTTCCCCAGCATTTTATTGGCTGATTCAACCAAACCGTTAGATTGTGGGTGTTCTACGGCAGCAAAGTGGTGTCGTATGTGCAGGCTGCTCATTAATTCGCGGAACTTGGCATCGGTAAATTGAGTGCCGTTATCCGTGACAACTTCTCCGGGAATGCCGAAACGGTACACGATG